CGGGAGTTGAACCCGGGACCTCTCGCACCCGAAGCGAGAATCATACCCCTAGACCAACGAGCCCCACTGCAGAGCCTTTTTGGAGCCTCATCTCTTGTGCTTCACGGTGTTTGTCTTCACTAGTGCAGATGGGGATGTTTTCTGGCTTCTTCACCGCAGCAGAGGAGCCAGGAACAGCCCAAGGCAAGCCGTGTTCTCAAGCAGCCCCACGCTGTTGTGGGCAGCTGAGAGACTGGAGTGTCTTGGGGAGGAAAAGGGTGGAGATGCTGGAGGTGGAACTGCACGCAAAGCAGGCACTCTGCTATGCACAACCCCACGGAATGAGCTGTGGGGTGCTGGGGCTGCCCCACAGGGATGGCTGTGCCCTGAGCATAGGGCAGGGATGCTGTGATGGCCGAGAGGTGAAGGCGTTGGACTCGAAATCCAATAGGGTTTCCCTGCGCAGGTTCGAATCCTGCTCACAGCGATGGATTTTACCCCCTGCCTGGAGGTGGGAATTGTGGAGGGTTTGGGTTAGAGGGGGCCTTCTGACCCCAAAGCAGGAGTCATTCTGCTGGACCAATGATCCAGGGTGCTGAGCCCTTGCCACCTCCATCCCCTGCCCCGCAGCTTTTCAGGCACAGTACCCTACACTGCCCACACTACGCTCTGGGATTTCCTCCTCTTTCCTCCTCGTGAGCATCTCTCCGCCCATTACTGTGCTCACCACTGCTACTGCTCACCAGAGGACCCTTTTTCCTCCATGAGGTGCCCCAGGGCACCCATTTTCCCCTCTCACCTGGATTTCACAGAGTTCCTCTGCACCCCCACCAAATCGTTGTCACTGGAGGGACTTCTGGAGGCCATCTGGCCCCTGCCCTGCACAAGCACAGACACCCGCAGCAGTTGGCCCAGGATTGCATCCAGACACCTTTTGAAGGTCTCCAAGGAAGGAGGTGGCACAGCCACTCTGGGCAATAAGCTGCAGTGCACAGTAAAGACATATTTCTTTTCCATACATCCACTGCTTGTGTAGGAAGATCTGATCATAGAATCGCAGAATCTACTGATTTGGAGAAGACCTTTAAACACCATCCAGTCCCATTCCCCTTCAATGAAGAGAGACATTTTCAGCACAGTCAGGTTTCTCACAGCCCAGTCCAGCCTGACCTTAAATGTCTCCAAGGAAGGGGCATCCACCACCTCCCCGAACAACCTGTTCCTGTGCTACCCTCATTACAACCCTCATCATCTTTTTTTTCCCTTATATCCAGTCTAAACATCCCCTTTCAGCTTAAAACGTCTCCTCTTATCCTATCGCAGCAGACTGTACTAAAGAGTCTGTCTCCTATCTCACAGACCCCCTGAGTTACTGATAGACCACTCTCAGGTCACCCGAAGACCCCCGTTTGGCTTTGCTGAACCTCATGAGGTTCTCCTGGGCTCACTGCTTGAGCCCCTCTAGGTCCCTCAGGATGGCATCCTGTCAAAAGTACCACACAGCCTGGTGTCATCCACAAACTTGCTGAGGATGCACTCAATCCGACTGATGAAAATATTAAAATATTAGCAGTAGTGACTCCAGAGGGACACTGCTTGTCACTGATCTCCTGGATTTTGAGCCATTGGCCAACAGAATCTGGGTGTGAACTTGAAGTCAGTTCCTCATCCACCAAATACTCTACCTGTCAAATCCATATTTTTCCAGTTCGAAGAGAAGAAAGTCCAAAGCCTTAATATGATCCAGATAAATTACATCAGTGATTCTTAGATGTCCGCTGACACAGAAACACAGTAACACAGAAGGCAGACAAGCCCTTGGTTGGTGAAATGCTGGTTAGGACAGCCCAACACTTCTCTCAGAAACTTCTCTTCCTTACCTGTTCCTTGGTGCTTGGAGGTTCCATGATCTTCTGCATCACAATGGTGAAGCTGGCAGGCCAGCAGCGCCCTGTGTCATCCATTCTGTGCTTCATAAAAACAGAGACAACAGTGCAGGAAAGCAGCAGGTGATCTGCAGGGATGACAGGGAGAAAGAGAGCTGCAAGGGGAGAGGGTCTGTGGAGGTGAGCGAGGAAAGGTGAGGGAGGGGTTTTGGTCAGAGGCAGCAAAAGTGTGGAGATGCTGGGGGTTGAACCCAGGGCCTCCTGCATGCAAAGCAGGCGCTCTACCGCTGAGCTACATCCCCTGGGTGATGATGATGATGATGATGATGACGATGATGATGATGATGATAACGATGATGAGGACAATAATGATGATGACAATGCTGCTGCTGCTGCTGCTGCTAATGGAGTTCTGGTTTTAGGCAAATTTTCTTCAGCCCTCTTTCTCAGCTGATGCTTTCCTGCCAGCAGCTCCCCCTGTTGAGACCCATGCACGCAGGGTTTCCTTCATGGCCATTTGCCACAGGGAGCTCTTAGGGATCAATTCCTTTCTATACCTGCACTGCAACCACTCCCACAAAGCTGCACTCTCCTGGATAGTCTCTCCACTGTCTATCCTGAAGACTGTCCCACGCCTTCAGGATACATCCAAGGATGGGGATGTCAGCTCTTTCCTGTGCCGTCTGTTCCATGTTCTGTCCACCAGAACTATAAAAAATCCTTCCTGATGTCCAATCCGAACCTCCCCTGCAACAACGTGAGTCTGCTTCCTTGCCATCTATGGCTTGGCATAAGAGGAAAGAGCCTGACACCCTCCTCATTGCAACCTCCCTTCAGGTAGCTGTAGACAGTAATGATTTCTCCCCTCAGCCTCCTTTTCTCCACTTTAAACAACCTCACTTTCCTCAGCTGCTCCTCATATCATGTCTTCTTGTCTCCTCACCAGTTTTGTTGCTCTTTTCCAAATCCATTCCCACGACTCAGCATCCTCCTTGTACCAAGAAGCCAAAACAGAGCGCAGTATGCCAGGTGTGGTCTCATTGGTAATGTGTACAGAGGAACAATCCCTTCCCTAATGCTCTTGGTTGCTCTACTTCTGATGCAAGTGTGAAAGTGTGCTCTCCTTTCCTCCTCCTCCTCACTCCCCCTGCTTCCTAGTCCACAGCAGCCTTGTAAATAAGGCCTTGTACACGGGAAGGCAATGAGCAAGAGTACTTTTGCTAAAACAGATTAACGAGCAATAATCTGCCTCACTCTGGGGACCTGATGAAACGGACAGCAGACACCTGGTTCAACAGCTGAAGGCCAATCGAGCAGGCACCTCAAAAGTATCACTGTCAATCGATCCTACACCCATAAAGAGTGAGCAGCCCATAGGATGGCCTGGGTTGCAAAGGAGCACAGTGCTCATCCAGCTCCAACCCCCTGCTGTGTGCAGGTCACCAACCAGCAGCCCAGGCTGCCCAGAGCCACATCCAGCCTGGCCTTGAATGCCCGCAGGGATGGGGCATCCACAGCCTCCTTGGGCAACCTGTGCCAGTGCCTCACCACCCTCTGGCTGAAAAACTTCCTCCTCATATCCAACCTAAACCTCCCCTGTCTCAGATTAAAACCACTCCCCTCCTTGTCCCATCAGGCTCTGGTGCTCTCCATCAGGGCAGCAAGTTGCACTTGGGACTGCCCTCAAGTAAGGATGTCTCTTGAGGTTTGTTCCGTGCAGAGATCCAATCCCTTGCACTGCAATGCCAAGATGCCCTACCAATACTGATCCTCGCCAGGTGGCCAGTAGTTTGTTTTAAGCCTTGTTGGCTTTGCTAAGATTGTATCTTAGGTTGACTGGGAAGTAATGATCCCTAAAACATACATGACTGACCAAGTGTGGGGTGAGAAGCAGATCCAGGTACAGCTGCGCTCCCTACTTCTGTGGTGCAGGGAGTTCTCTCTGAACCTAATAACTCAGCAGGAGGGTCTCCTGTCTGTGAGTGTTTAACCCTACCCTCTCCTGTGCATCCACGTGCATGCTCTCACACGGATCACCTCTCTTGGTATCACCTGTAAACTTACTGAGGCTGCACTTGATCCCATCATCCAAATCACTAGTGAAAATATTAAACAAAACTGGCCCCAGTACTGAGCTCTGGGAAACGTCCCAGGTGACCAGCTGTTAGCTGAGTTCAACTCCATTCACTGTGGTTCTTTGATCACGGCCATCCAGCCAGTTCCTCCCTCAGTGCCCGGTACACACGTCCAAGACATGATTTGCGTGTGTCTCCACATGAGTACTGTGAGAAACAGTATCAAACCCTTCACTAAAATCTAAGAATCATAGAATATCTTGAATATTTATCAGATTTCATGGGTTTTTCTTCCCCAGAGTGCTTTATCTCAGCAGACTCTAAGAAGCAGATCTGATGAGCTAGATGTCTGCTCTCCTGAAGTCCAGGCATGTAAGCTTGCTACTCAGCCTCCTGGCTGTCCACATGATCATGGATGTGGCCTATTTTCACTGCTGCCAAAAATGACTTTGGCTGGTTTTGTTCACTTAGAGAGAGCCTGATGGTGGCATTTAAATATAGGGTGTGGGAGATGAACCCAGGACCTCTTTTACCCTTAGTGAGAACCATGTCCCCAGACCAAGGAGTCGCAGTGTGCGGTAGCCTGGCTCCTACAGCCCTGTGACATTTGTTCATGTCCTTGGGCAGCACTTCCACTGGCACCGCTGGGCTCACGCCTTGCAGCCGTGCAGATAGGATGTAGGGCGTAGGGCTGTGTGGGGTTACACCTGACATTCTCAGCCAGAATGCGGACCATGGGGCAGCTGGGGCTGCCTGGAAATACCCACAAAGGCGGATATGCCAGATGTGTGAGCAAAGAGTTCCCCCTAAAGTGGGCTGGGCTGCTGTGGACGATGGGCGCTGGACACAGCATGAGGTAGGGTTTTCCTGCACAGGTTTGACTGCAGCTCACAATGATGGATAATATCCCTGGTCTACGGCTGGGGGGAATACGTTGCCACCTGTTGTTGACCCCCTGCCCACATCTTCCATTCTGTCACACATCTTCCATTCTGCCCCATGGGCCTTCCCCTCTTCTTCCTCCTAGGGACATCCCTCAAAGCCAAGTTCTTTTACTTACCTGGGTTTCTCCACACTGCCAGGCACAGAGTCACCAAACTGTTGATAGTGGAGGGACCTCTGGAGGCCATCTGGTCCCAGTGCCACTCAGACTCTGCACGTAGCAGAGGGGTTGAAACTAGATGATGATTGTGGCCCTTCTCAACCCAGTTCATTCTATGATTCTATGAAATCCAGGAATAAAACTCACCTAACTGAATGGCAGGTTAGAAAGCTGGCATTGCTTTATTGCAGCACTGGCTGCACGGGGGATCATTCCTCCCAGCATGCACACCCACTACCTGAAAAGCACACTGATGTTATGCATTTTAACATGTGAATATTCACGTCATTTCTACAAAGTGCCCGCCTAGAAGCACTGTACGTATTAAAATCTGGCACTACTCGTGTTCTGGGGGCTTCCGGAAAGGAGTTTGTTGGTTGTCTCCACGCAAAAGAATGCTTGTTACAAAAGCCAGGTCCCATATGTGGTCAGAAAGCTTTATACAAAAAAAAAAATGGCTGTTGACTAAGTTTTTAACCTTGCTAGAGCACCTATGATCAACCCTAGTGGGGCACAGTTTACCTCCTCCTCAAAGCTGGTGGAATGCTGAGTCCGTGCTTTTTAGGTTGTCCTTATCTAGAAGCAAAACCCTTCCCAAGAGAACAGTTCTGCGGAGGTGTTCCAACCAGTTGCTGAAAGCCTGGAATTTCTTGACAGGTATCAGCACTCAAGCACAGGCGCCCACAGCAGCTGGCCCAGGACTGCATCCAGCAAGGGCAGAGACGGAACAGCCGCGCTGGCTGACGGCTGGCAGCGCTCCGTCGCACTCACAGCGAGACGCTTTTCCCCCCCTCCCGTCCGCACAGCAGCAGCGCCGCTCCCTGCGCAGCCCGGCCCACTGACCAGCACCGACCTGCGGACGCCGCGGCTCGTTGGTCTAGGGGTATGATTCTCGCTTAGGGTGCGAGAGGTCCCGGGTTCAAATCCCGGACGAGCCCTCCTTTTTTTTTTTGGACGACACCGACCGTGTTCCTCCTTCACCGGACCGCGCACTGCTGAAAAGCCAAGGCAGCTGCAGTGCTGGGATCGCTCCTCTGCTCAGGTAATGGCGGCGGCATCCCCTGCGCAGCTCTCCGTGTATCCAGGCAGGACTTGAGATGCTCGTCTCATCCTGTCTGCCCAGAACCTCCAGGGCTTCCTCACTGAGCTGCATACCCTGCTGATGGGCGTAGAAGGGGTCTTTGGGAAGCTCTCCTCACCCCCCCCTCCCCCCTCCGCAGTTTTACCCACCTTGCCCGCTGCTCCCTCTTCTCTGTCCGAATGTTCTCCCCAGACAGACATTCTCAGACCCTGCTTTGCCACCCCTGTTCCTGCTGCAGCAATAGTTCCCTGACGCCATGGATGTGCCACCCCAAAAATGCCACCTCTCCCCTCAGCACCAGGCACTGCCCTCCTTGCCACATTCTTCACCATGAGCCGGGCGTTGTGTGAGTGCCTAAAATGGAAGAGTTTGTCCTGGAGTTGAACCCAGGACCTCTCATCACCCTCACTGAAAAGTGAGAATCACACCACTAGACCAGGTACAATTTATGGGACTGTGATGGGCGACAGGAAGTGGAGAGGCTCCATTGAGTGCTCTGGTCATCAGGAATAGGCACATCCCTCTTGTTCTGCAGCCTGTGCTGTGGGGGGACACCTGGACATGGCCACAAGCTGTAGCAGCTCTATCTCCAAAGTTTTAGGGGCAATGGGACCATCAGGCTGTGGATGGGAATTCAGTCATACAAAGGATTACAGTTCAGTGGTAGAGTGCTGGCTTTGCATTAAAGAGACCTTGGGTTCAAGCCTCAGTGTCTCCAGTTGTTCTTGTTGTAGTTGTTTTTTGCCCCTCCTCTGAAAACCTCCTCATGGGGGCTGTGGTATTAGAATCACACTTCCCCCACTGAGGCACAGCCAAAGGAGTTTTGTGCTATGCACCATGGCCCCATATGGAGCCGTATAATGGGGGCGTGTTTGGTGCTGGCATCACCCAGTTGTGCCATCCACACAGCCCTCTGAAGCCCCTCACACACTGAGCAGTGCTGTGAGCCTGCATTTTGTCTCTTTTGTCCCTGTGACACATTGCTACCAACAGCTCTGAGTGCCATTACAGCAGACCTGACATCTGCAGCGTTAGTGTCAGGCAGTGGGGTCCCATCCCATCCCTGTCTGTGCCCGCCAGTTTGTGGTTGCCCAAAAGAAAAGCTCGTGCCCCTGATCCCCAGCCACCAAGCAGCATCAGCCAAAATCCATCGCTGTGAGCAGGATTCGAACCTGCGCAGGGAAACCCTATTGGATTTCAAGTCCAACGCCTTCACCCCTCGGCCATCACAGCCCTATGTGGTCTTGTTTGCAACCTACAACTTCCCGGTTCTGGGGGTCCAGCTGCAGAAAGGGAAGCCCCTACAGTCATCATGGAGAGACCCATGTTTGCAGCAGCCCCAGAGCCACAACCCCCAGTGCTCACACTCACCTCCCTCCCTATCATCAGGTCATCAAGGTTGCAAAAAGGAAATGGTGGGGGGATATTTCACACCTGAAGCAAGAATCATACCCTGAGATCAACAAGCCAGGGCACACAGATGCCTGGGCCCCCTTATCTTACTTCCTTTTGGACATCAAAGTGCTGTGGGCAGCACTACCTTTTGTTCTCAGTGCTGGTTTCCAGAAGGACCATGCTGATTGCCCTAAGGAATGGAGCAGGTTACATAAGAGACCTTTATTCTTCTTGTTTTTGAGTGCAAGAGATCCCAGGTTGAACTCCTGGAGTTGGCCCCTCCTTTTGGGTACCACTGCCCTGCTCTGGCTGCCAGCACGGAGCTCCTCGTGGGCCCAGCTCCAGGTGTTATCCCCCCAGTGAGGCCCCACTGCTGCTTGAAGTGACACACAGGATGGGTCCAATGATCTCAACCCCATATTTTGGCTCCTGGTCCTGCTGGTGACCCCAGTAGCAGGAGGATGGAGACAGGAGCAAGGCAGGGTCACGGGAACCTTGGGAGCACCCCATTAGAAAAGGAGCATGTGGGCACCATGGCTTAGCTGGTTAAAGCGCCTGTCTAGTAAACAGGAGATCCTGGGTTCAACTCCCAGTGGTGCCTGGCCTGGTGGCTGCTTTTCTTCCTGGCCCCTGAGTTTGGGCATGTGGGCTGGGGTCTTCACCCTCACCAGAGGCACTTCATTGCTGCCTATGTCCTCCTACTCTTCTACCTTGCTGCTCCCATGACGCGCCCCTTCCCAATGACAAAGCAGTCCCCTGAAGTCTGAATATGCCTTTTTACTCCAGAGCTCATTTCAAGGGGAGACAGAGAGTGTCATGGAGACACTAGGGCTTATCAGTAAGTCTGGGCAGGGGTAGAAAGGGAGCTGCATGCAGTTCATGGGTTTCACTGGCAGCAGAAGCGCCGATCACTCAGGGCCATGTCATTCCTTTCCAGCACTGCACAGACTCCTGCTGTTTCTGGGTGCCACACAGTTCCCTAAGGCACCAGGAGCTTCAGCTGCCCCACGGGCCCCAGGCAGAGCACAGTTCCTCCAGCATCTGCCTGCTGGAGCAGGAGAAGCATGTGCTGTTGGCAGCCACTTCATCGTGCAGCAGCCTATGCTGGAGCACCCGGGCCTGCAGTGCAGAGCCCTCCTGATGCCCTCTGGTTGGGAACACTGGAGGACCTCTGTCCAGATGCACTGCTTAGGAAGAAACAGAGAGCAGTCAGCATGGGCCAGAGCTGCAGAAGGACACAGCCCGATGGTACTGGGGCATTGTGGAGATGGTTGTCCATGGGGATGGGTGGAGCCATCAGGTGCTCAGAGGCTCGGCTGTGTGGCTGCTGAAGAGGTCCTCCCCATGGAAACAGTGCAGCTGAACCCTGTTCAGCACCGTGTCATCCTTCCTCAGCCCCCGGGCAGCTCCACCCATGAGGAAGAGAGCTGGGTTTGGGTGCCAGTGGGGATCCCAGGCTGGCTGCCATGCAGAAGGCTGAGCCTTGAAGCTGACGCTGCTGGTGTCGGCGTGCCCCAGTGCCTGGCACGGCTGCACCGCCCCAAGCTGTCCTCCTACACCTGCCCGCGTGGTGAGAATAGCAGGAGGGCCCTGCAGAATCTCGGTTACCTTCCTTGGGAGCACAGGCCCACGGATAGCTGGGATTCGCCATAGGTGAGAGGTAAATTCTGGTGCCGAGGGCTCGGCTCGAGGCTGCTCGGGCACCACGGGGCCTGGCACCGTGCTGTCTGGCTCCAGGCCTCCGCGACGGCAAAAGCGACGATGAGGGTGGGATTCGAACCCACGCGTGCAGAGCACAATGGATTAGCAGTCCATCGCCTTAACCACTCGGCCACCTCATCCTGCCCGCGCCGCCCGCCCCGCCCCGGCCCCTCCCTGCCGCGCGCCCCGAGCGCCGCCCGCTCGCCGCGCCGGGCTGTTACAGGCCTCGCGAAGAGTGGGGCAACGCAGCCCTCTTAGCGCAGCCGGCAGCGCGTCAGTCTCATAATCTGAAGGTCCTGAGTTCGAGCCTCAGAGAGGGCACTGTTTTAGCTCCGTGCCGGGGGCCGGGGGATGCGCCGTGCCGCGAGGCGTGCCGTTTTGCAGCAGCGCGTGACCGCCGGCAGGGCGGCCCCATGCGGAGCTCGGTGTTGGTTTTGGTTGGACCGGCTCCCCGCTGGACTCCACATGCAGAGCCCAGGAGCGGAGCTGTGAGATGCAACAAAACGAACAGTCGCACAAACAAACAAAACGGCAATTCTAAACGATAAAAACAGAAACGCTCTGCCCTCTCTGAGGCTCGAACTCAGGACCTTCAGATTATGAGACTGACGCGCTGCCGGCTGCGCTAAGAGGGCTGTGGCAGCACGCCTCTTCTCGGGACCTGCAGCGCGCCGCCGTGCGCCGGGGGGGAACTGCGCCCCCTGCTGGGAGCGGGCGGGGCGAGCGGGCGGGGCGGAGGGCGGCGGGAGGGGTCGGGGTAACGCTGCTCAGGGCAGGACGAGGTGGCCGAGTGGTTAAGGCGATGGACTGCTAATCCATTGTGCTCTGCACGCGTGGGTTCGAATCCCACCTTCGTCGCCACTTTTGCCACAGCCCCGGCTGAGTGCAGGTGGGCTGCCTCCTCATCCGGGACCGCAGAGCTAGACCTACACAGCAAACCCTGAAGGAGCTTGGCTCCATCCTCTTGCCATCCTGATCCTCATCCCCCATCCCCCTCCTGATGTTTACGAAGATCCCCTCGGTATTTCCTTCTCCAGGATGCACAGCCCCAGCTCCCACAGCCTGTCCTCATGCAGGTGCTCCAAACCCCGACCATCTTTGTGGCCCACCCCTGGATTCTCTCCAGCTGTTCCCTGTCTGCCTTGAACTGGGGAGCCCAGACCTGGACACAGCCTTCTAAACGTGGCCTCACCAGGGCACAGCAGAGAGGAGGATCACCTCCCTCGACCTGCTGGCCATGCTCTCTGTAAAGCACCCCAAGTTCCCCCAGGCTACTTTGTGTGCTTAGTTAGCACCACATTGAAATAGTCTTATTTATGGACAGACCTTTTGATCAGCAACACAGGAACAAATTCCACCAACAAAAATATTTATTAGATACAAAAAAAACATTTACATGAAACAATGAAGACGGTGTGAAACAGCCGTTGTAGCAGTTGAATTCCGGCTTAACAGATTCCCAGGAGCAGCAGGCACAGAGCGCAGCACGGCTCTCTGTAACTCAGCAGGCTGATGCACGGTCACAAAGCTCAGCTCAACAGAACGCTGAGTATGAACAGCTCAAAGCACAAGTGCTTCAGTTTAAGTCACTATTGCTATTCCA